ACTACTTCCCCGGCCCCGCCTCTGCCCACGCCGGTGCTGGGTACATGGTGGGGGTTATCGCGTTGGGGTGGCTCAGTCCGCATAGATGATTGCAGGGATCGTAGAGTAGGTGCGCCCGTCTTGTATCTCGTTGGGGTGATTGTCGTCTGTTAGAACAAAAGAGTTTCTATGCGAGAGAAGCGTAATAACGTGGGAGACATTGGGGCCATTGTGTTCCGGGCCCCCGGGGGCTCTGCTATATCAGCTGTGCAGAGAAACTGCTAATGCATGTGCACATTCTCCCTTGCCTGGTTTGAAACCGCTCATCCCAGATCTAGAACCTCCTCACCATTCCCATCTGTGCACACTACCTTCTAGCTCCTCCCCCACCATTCCCTTCCATGCACACTGTCCCATCCTGAATCCAGAAGCGGATGCTTGCCAAGTACTAGGGGGATACTTTGTAGACGGGGGGCCCCTTTCAGCAGGCTTGCCTTCACTCCCCACCTGGCAGACGTGTCGGAAGATTACCCCTCCATGGCTGAGTTCTAACCCTGTGTGTGATGTTCTTTCTCGCAGGTTTGTCCTGAACGAGTTGGTGCAGACTGAGAAGGACTATGTGAAGGACCTGGGGGTGGTGGTGGAGGTAAGTTTCCGTCCTTGTGTTCTCTGATCTTCTGCCGGCGCGGAACCTCCTGGGTATGCCGGCAGGTTGTGAAGAAACTCGGCAGCCTAGGCGGCTATTTCATGGCCGGTTGGCTTCAAAGAGACTCTGTCACCGGCCCATTCACTGCAACACAAATCGTCCCTCAGGATCATATGAGGATGTTGAGATGTAAAATCTGCCCTTGTGTAGACACCTTTAAGCCCTGAGACTGCTGCGGGGTGCCGCCATCTTGGTTGTAACGTCCACGGATCCAGCAGGCTCGGAGCGATCCGGTGACAGGGTCTCTTTAAGTTAGCTTAGGTTTGGCATTGACCAAATGTACCACCGTAGTCAGGACGCCGTACGTGCTTTGTCATTACATGTTGACTAAAAACGGCTGTCATGGTAATCCTCATTCTTCTTCCCCCCCATACAGGGCTTTATCCAAAGGATAGAGGAGAAAGGGACACCAGAGGACATGAACGGGAAGGAGAAGATCGTGTTCGGCAACATTCACCAGATCTACGACTGGCATAAAGAGTAAGCTTCACTACACAACGTCACAAAATGTCTGACCATAGAGACTCACTAAGCGGTATATTACTCATTCCTTCAGCGCTGTGTTTGGTACTGTAACATGTATTGTAGTGGTTTGTGTCTCTGCCCCTCCCACAATGGTGAGATTTCCCTCCAGTAGTTGGTGTCTCTGCCCCTCCCACAATGGTGAGATTTCCCTCCAGTAGTTGGTGTCTCTGCCCCTCCCACAATGGTGAGATTTCCTCCAGTGGTTTGTGTCTCTGCCCCTCCCACAATGGTGAGATTTCCCCCAGTGGTTTGTGTTTCTGCCCCTCCCACAATGGTGAGTATTCCCCCAGTAGTTTGTGTCTCTGCCCCTCCCACAATGGTGAGATTTCCCCCAGTGGTTTGTGTCTCTGCCCCTCCCACAATGGTGAGATTTCCTCCAGTAGTTTGTGTCTCTGCCCCTCCCACAATGGTGAGGTTTAATGTCCTCGCGGCAGGATGTAGAGGTAAAAAGTCCCCGGGTTGCCATGTGTCTCAGCCACTAACAGGTATTGTGCCACCTGTACATTCCTCAGCTTCCATCGGTGCCTGTAGTACCGGGCCATGCTGCCACGAGTTCAGTTCTTGCGGTTCAGGTGTGCACGCCGGAGCAGTGATTGCAGAGTACCGTCCTCCTCTCCGGACACAGCCGCAGGAAGCCGGGATGGTCAGGAATCATTATCTGGGAGTTTGTCATTACAAAGAACAAATTAGATAGAAAGTAACAATTGGAGCGAGAAATGTTCAGGAGATGAATTCGGAGAATCGCACGCGAGGGATCGGAATTTCTTCACGTTCTACGCTCCGGACTTTTCATTCCTTCACGTGTCTGTTCTGATATCCGGAATATTCCACAGAACAGAAATAGAGCCGAGGGGACCGACCCCAAAACACTGAGTGACAACACAAAGTCTGTTCCCCGAATTCCTCATCATTGTTACCACTGAAGAGAGAACAATGTAACAAACATTTCTGAGAGAGAGAGAGGCGAGGACGGGTCAGTAGTGAGGTCTGAAGCAGACGGGTGTACATAGAATCTTATGGAAAGAAGAGACCGACCCGGTGTATGTACCCGCTGAACAGAGAAGTCACCGATTTAACTGTGCTATGGGGCATGGTATAGTAAATCTCAGGACTGCATGGACAGAAATACAAATCCTTCAGCATAGGACAATCTCCCATCTGTCTATTACAATGAAGTGTTTAGCCGCTTGCCTGGAGTTCAGCTTTAGTCATCTGAGGTGCC